GGAGGAAGGGGAGGAGGAGGGGGAAGAGAAGGAAGAGGAGGAGGAAGGGGAGGAGGAGGGGGAAGAGAAGGAAGAGGAGGAGGAAGGGGAGGAGGAGGGGGAAGAGAAGGAAGAGGAGGAGGAAGAAGAAGGAGGAGGAGGAAGAGAAGGAAGAGGAAGAGGAAGAAGGAGGAGGAGGAGGAGGAGGAGGGGGAGGAAGAGGAAGGGGAGGTGCCAAAGACAAGATATATCTTTCAAGTATGCATCCCTGTGATCTACTCCTTCCCATCAGGCCCCACCCATTAGTAGAACATTCAACACAATAACATCGAAGCTCTCATGGTTCAGTGACATTTCAGGAGACTATCAACTTGCAACTAAGTCTTCAACACAGACACATGTTGAGGTACACTTTACATGCACGCCTCCACAGCCATCAACATAAATGTTAAGAAGAAGGTACTAAACTTTTTATCACTATCAGCTGGACAGAAATCTCAACTGAGAGCCTTAGCATGCACTGAAGTTTGCCAAATAAAGTAGGATTTGAAGAAACAAAGGGAGAAAAAAAAATACAGTGTCTATGACCATGGGGAAGAGAGAGCCATCTGGGCAACCAAGGAAAAGTCGCTTATGATTGAACCCAATTGACAAGTTAATGTAAACTGTATGAGAGGTAGCTGTCCAGCGGTGTACGTAGGCTTGAATTTATCAGTAGCTTAGAATTTTCAAAATAAACTACCATGAAAGAACAGGACATACTACATCCATTAAAGCAAAGAGAACGGAGACACAAGAAGGTCATAGCTAAAGAAAGTCAAAAGACGCTTAAGGGAGATGGAGAGGGAAGTAGAGTATGAGGCACAGAAGAAATTCCAGAAAAATCACAGAGAAGAAAGGAAACATGGTGATAGGAAGAACAGTATCAGAAGAGTAGATTGCTTTTAAGGGGAGAGAAGAATTTGAGCAGTGTATCAGTTATGTTCCTACTCCTACATTAAAAGCACCATGAAAAGCAACCTATAAAAGGAAACGTTGTTGGTCTGGAGCTTGCAGTTCAGGAAGGATCAATCTGTCACCATCACCACAGGAAAGCATAGTAGCAGGCACCAGGCATGGCAGCAGGAACAGCTGAGAGTTCATATAGTGAACCACAAACAGGAAACAGAAAGAGCCAACTTGGAAAGGCATAAGTCTTGTAAACCTCAAAGCTCACCCCAAGTGACACATTTCCTCTAGCAAGGATACATATCCTAAGTCTCCCCAAATATCCAGCAACTGGGAACCAAATATTCAAATGTCCAAACTATGGGTGAATTTGCATTTAAACCACCACCAAGGAGGAGGAAGAAATTGGGAGATCTCTACCAATCAGAAATAATTTTGCACAAAGTCAATAAGTACTGGCTACTTAGAAAATACACTGAAATGAACATCAGAGGCAAAAGAAGAATCAGCACAGGCTGCATTATTTGAGCCAGTGCTGATAAATACATTAGCTTCTTGTCAAAGTCCAGCACAACTCAGAGAAAGGAAAGCCCTTTATTATTCAAAACACAGGTAGATTTATAAATAAATAAATAAATAAATAAATAAATAAATAAATAAATGGGGAGGGTTTTTGTAAACCTCTAGATTTTGATTAAAGTCTTTCCATTTATTTCCCTACTCCTAAAGCTCACATTCATCCCAAATCCTTACAAAAGATTTTCCCAATCTGTTCCCTGATTTTGCAAAAGGCATGAAGGCTCTACCCACATTTCTTCATGTTGTTCTTTGATTTTGACGTAGCTGCTTGAACCCTGCCATTCTTGTTTCAAAACTGAGCCCTTCTGAATCTGTTTCCTGAGTTAACCGGCTCTCTCTATCTCACTAGAATTTTTAGCTGAATGTATCAATCACTTTAAACAAAATGGGCCTGCCATTTAAGCATAGGATACACAATGTATCTTTCTCGGAATTAATTAGTATATGCTACTTCCATAGGAGTTATTGACCACATAGCTGTTCTGTAGACTTGTATCTGCAATACATACATTAGCTTCTATACTCCCAACCCATAAATCCTAAAGTTTCAGAGAGAATTTCATGTTCCACACCTTTACTAGCAGTGAATTGCACCTCGGAAAAAGAACACTTTCTTGTCAACTGTACCAATCCCTGTCACCAACAAATTCTTGCTGGTTCACAGCAACCCCAAAAGAGAAAACTTACACCTTAAATAACTAGTTTAAGAAAGAAAGGAAGAGAGAGAGAGAGAGAGAGAGAGAGAGAGAGAGAGAGAGAGAGAGAGAGAGAGAATGATGTTTTTATAGTTAGAATGGTAACATTTCTTAGCCCCAAGGTAGAAATACTGATAAATGAAACTGTCCCGGATCATCTCTGTAATGCTGTGCGCATTATTTTTTAAATATCATCTAGAGAAGAATCTAGAATTCTGATCTTCAGGTTTTCATTGCATAAGAGCATGGGGGTATGGCATCTGTAGATAAACTGTTTCTTATTGTCTTTGCATAAGTGCTCAAGAACTCACATAAACAGTGAAACGGTTTCCTGGGACATAAGAAAACACTCCCTGAATATTTTCCAGGCTCAATGACCAAAGTGAAGGATCTCCTTCCTCCTATGCAAATAGATAAACCTCCCTGTAGAGCTGGTGCTCCACATCTAAGCTCTGAATAGTAACATCCCATCTGAACAGGATGAGGAAACTGTTTCAGAATCAGAACAATGAGAATGAGCAGTGCGGAATGCAGCCGAAGGCCTGGGAAGCATTTCCCAAAGAATCACACAAGAGCGTCAGTTCTCTTGTCCTATTTCTCTCTGTACCATCTTCCACGTTGGCTGCATACCAATGCTGAGTCACTGCAAATGGTGCCCACTTTTGACTTACAGAGCTTCTTGCATCTCTGCGTTACTTCCCCTTATGAGACCTTATGATACCTAAGTGGCATGAACTATACATAGGCATATCTGCAAAGAGGCATGCTGGAGTCTGCAGGGGGCAGCACAAACTTGTACCAGCTAGCACAAATGGATATCACTCTGCCTCCTTTGATGGCTTTATCAACAACAGACAGATCCGGAGAGTAGAGTAGATAGAAAACTGAATACAAATCCCCAAACCACAATGGATCTGCAGGGTGGCCAGGAACGGAGCTGTGACCTGGAAGGATCCAAAGAAACAAAAATAATCAGATCTCCCAATTGTGGACAGTCATTTCAGGTTGCCACCAGTGAAGACAAAATAGCATTAAAAATGGACAATATAGTTTTCACTCCTTTGAAAAATGACCTCAGACTGGAGAGATGGTTCAGCAGTTAAAGCTCCTCTTACAGATGACCAGTACCCAGCTCCCAGCACCATGTCCCACTGCTTACAACTACTTGAAGCTCTTGTTCCAGGGAATCATGCCCTCTCCTGTTCTCCACATGTATGTGGCACTCACACAAACACACATATGTATATGCAATACCTACATATAAACAGAAAAAATAAAAATAGATTGTTGCAGGGCATGGTGGCTCATGACTTTAATCTCAGCATTCTGGAGGCAAAGGAAGGTAGAGACGTCTGTGAATTTCAGGCTAGCTTTGTCTACACAGTAAGTTTCAGGCCCTGGGTCACAACACAACTGAACTGTTCAAATTGAAACTTCTGTTCCTCACCTTGCTGTGGACTCAGAGTCAGTGTATTGTTCTACCAGAGAAAACAGTGCAAGGTGACAATTAGCAAAGTGCTAAAGGGAAAATTGAGGTGAGGTATATTTCTGGCTTTGACAATGCTTCAGGGACAAGAAAAGTCATAGCCTTTGAGGGTAGAGATAGAGATAGAGACATGTATGTATGTATGTATGTATGTATGTATGTATGTTCTGTTTCAGTCATTGCTAAAATTTAGTTTATGATTTTAAGGGAATGAGAGTTATAAGGCTGGAAATCAGGACCTCACATACACTAGATAAGGATGCTACCATTGACCTATACCTCTAATCTATATTTCAATCCTGAAATCATTCTATCCACCTATCTATCTAATCTAGCAATCCATCCATCATCTATCTAAGTCTGTGTGCATGTACCTATCTGTCTGTCTGTCTATCTATCTCTATGTGTGTGTGTGTCTGTCTGTCTGTCTCTGTCTGTGTGTCTGTGTGTCTGTCTGTCTGTCTCTGTCTGTGTGTCTGTGTGTCTGTGTGTCTATCTCTGT